TATGCACACACATACACGCTGTATAAGGCTCAATTAGCACGGAGCAGTGAAGTCACGCTGCAAAAATAGAGCTCGCCGCCAGCTCTGCCAGCCCGCCACCCGGCGGCGGCATGCGTTGTACATAGATGTGTATGTGTGCTTAGCTGGCAAAAAGGATCGAAGGCGAGTCTATTGATACCACGCGCGTATCAGCGGCACAGATATATGGAATATAGACTGCGTAGGGAGATTTATTGCAAATTTGTTTTTTACCAAGACAAACGAATAAATAAATAAATAAATAAATAAAATAGGAGCAACTGGCGAAGACGATACTGGCTGCAAAAAATTGATGCGAAAAGGAGCAGCAGCAGCAGCTTTATACCACGCCGATCTTCTGCGGTTGCCTCGAGAAGTGAGCCACGCAGAGACAGTATATATAGTGGCAGCCATCCTACGTTGTAAATATACATGTAGTGTATGTGTGTGTATACGTATATATACTGGTCGAGCAACGCTATAATATACCGTGCGTGCGCGAATATGTGTGCGTGTTTATACGTGGGAGAAAGAGAGAGAGAGAGAGAGAGAGAGAGAGAGAGAGAGAGAGCTGTATACATATACACGCATACACGAACGTGGGGCAATATAAAAGTTGTGTATGTGTGCGTAGATAGATATATATGCTCATGTCGCGGGCGAAGGATCGAAAAAGAGAGAGTTAGCCTCTCTCACCGAGGTCCGAGGAGATTTGGGCCCCATGTCTGTCTGTGTGTGTATGCTTGTGCACGGGTAAATGCCGTTTGGTATATGTTTGTATGTATGTATGTAACAGGCAGCAGCAGCACTATAAGTGTGCACACTCACTTCCTCGCGTCTGAGAACTTCGACCTGGAGCCGCTTGTGATAGTCCTCGCACTCGTCCTTGTACTTTTCCATCTCCTCCTTGGTCTGCCTCATCTTTTTCTTCAGCACGTCGAGCAGCGTACCCTGCACTTGTGTCGACATCTTTCTCGGTCTTCTTTTTTTTTCCTTATCCTTGACTTAACGCACAGAGAGCTTATCTCTCGACGTCGAACGTCGAACGAGTATTGAAAAAAAAAAAAATAAAAAACGGAGCGCAAAATGCTCTTTTTTTTACACCACCACACAATTATAGAACAACAGCTCTCGGGAGTAGAATAGCACACACCAGTTGTTGTTCACTCACTGAATTCTTCTGTGTGCATAAAAACTAATGTGACACGAGCAGCATATATAACTAAACGTCGTCGTCGTTGTCGGCACACTTGCGAATATGTAAGAGAGATAGAGAGCGAGGCACGCACACACCCGGTGTTTTATGTGGAGAAACTCGAAAACGCGTCGAAGAACGTGAGATTACGAACCGACTTTTGTGTGTTGACGCAAAATCTAACGCGTTTTATTATAATATATATTTTGCGGTAGGTCTGCACTACACGGCGGCACTAGCACGAGAGAGCGATACAATGTGTGCGGGGACAGCAGCGATGCTTATGACTGACTGCGGGTGGGTCCGGCTCGGCGCGCTGCTGACCGTTGCTGGATTCGCTCGCGGCAGTATATGTGCGAGTAGCTTCGAGCAGGCTGGCAGGCAGGCAGTGGTAGGTACTATCCGTGTATTATGCGTGCTTGTGTGTACATACAACGATGTGTATGTATGTATGTAAGAGAGGCGAGACACCGGGCACAGTACAGAGAGCAGCAGCAGCAGCAGTAGCGGCGGCGGCGGCGGTGGCGGTGGCAAATCGCAAGGTGGCAGTAAAGAGTGCGTCTACATGTGTGTGTGTATGTGTGCTTTAATGTATGTGTAACAGCGCGCAATTCGCGTTCCAAATGCGCGAATTAAAAAAAATAAAGGAGGAAAAGATGTAACGACACGCACGCACGGAGGTTATTAACGGAGAGGAAGGGAGCACGATTTAAAGTGCGATACGTTGGTGCAAATGCAGCAGCCACCGACCACCGAATTCATAATATATATTTTCCATTTCATATACGAACGGTCTGCTCTCTCTCTCTTTCTATATCTGGTGCAGTTTTGCGCTGACTCGCCCCTTTCGCGTATATACTTGGTAATATACAGTGTGCGGCGGTGGCGGCGTCGTCATCGTCAGGACTCTCCAAAAGTCGCTTTCCTCTCTTTCTCTCGCTTGCACTTTCATCGTGCGCTGCTGCCACTGCTGTGCATTGTATATATAGATATGTATACGCCACTGCGCCACATCATTGCCCCGCGCGCATGAGGCGATCTCGCGAATTTCAAAATGGCCGTACGTGTGTGTGCGCACCGGAGTCAGGGACGTATCGTTTACCTTTGATACCATACTCTCGAGCGCGCCGCACGCCTGTACAAAATGTGCAAAAGCTCAGAGCAGCGCTCCGAAATAAATACGCATGCGTCGGCTTTTGCAGCAGTAGCAGCAGCTGTGAGCTGAGCTCTGAAATTGTCGTGTACTTGTACCGCGTATGTATGCGTAATGTGCGTGAAACTTGGCAAAATTCTCGCGCAGGGGCCAATGGCTGCGCGCCGCTGCGCCGCCGGCCGTTTTCGACGTGTGCAGCACCACAAGGACGAACTGCTGCTGCTGACGAATATACGTGTAAACGGGTTTGGCCGTTTCGTCGTGTAACGCACTTTTATGGTTGTTTTACCGTGTTATATTATACCACAGTAAATAGTTGAGGTGCGTGCAAGCGCACATCGTACGACTTACGATTGCAGGGATGAGTTAATTTTTGACGTTGCGGTGTCGTTCGACTGCAAGTTCTTAATTTAAATTATTTCCTTTGGAAAAAAATTTTATAAATTGTTCGCTCGTAGATAATTTTTTATAACGGTCTTCGAAAATTGTTCCTAAATTCAAATTATGATTTTAGTTCAAAAAGCGATTTGATCAAAGTATAATTCACATACTTAAGTATATCAATATTTTAGTGTTTATTATTTTTCGAATTGAAAATAATAAACATAATAAAAATAAAGTAATCTTATCAATTAATAAAGTTTGTAAATTCGAGTGTTCAAGTGGCTGATTAACAGACCAATTTATCCATCGTTTTCATTTTTTTCAACGATCTCTCTTCAATTAAAATTCTTATAAATTACAACGATAGCATCTCTAATTGAGAAGTGTAAAAGCAGCTTTAATCGCTTCTGAGCGAAGGTGCAGACACATATAGATATGAGGAAGCGAGCACACCACGAAAGTGAGATTCGTCCGTGAGAAAAGCACAACTGAAAACGCAACGCTTTTCGTTTCTATTATAAAACGTCAAAACGTAGAAAACCGAGGAGATAGATAAAATCAGTCGAGTAAACAAACAAGAGCTTGTAAGTACAACGCCCTCGTGGACCAAAGTTTTAATCCTCGATTTAACTCTGTGCTTTTTTCGTAGGTTAGCGCAGAGCAGAAGGATTCGTGTGTGCAGCAGCTTTACCGCCGAGAGCTGCTGCTGCTGCTGCAGAGAGCTCGACTTTTCGCAAGTCACTCGCACAAGTGGGTGGGGAATGTGTGTATACGCTGCAGCGGAAAGCATTGTGCGTGCGTGTCGTCGTCTATAATACTGCCTTCTCTTATGCTCTATGAAAACCCCGGAAATACCGCACCCACGAGCAGCAGCAGCAGCCAGCCCGACGTTGTTTAAAGAGAGAAATTCTCTTTTGCCATGGCTGTGAACGTTGTTCCGCTCGTTGAATCTCCTCGTCGCGAATAAGCGCGGCGCGTGTGATTGTTTGCTGCGCGAGGATCTTCGGCTGTTGCTGTTGTTGTTGCCGTCAAATGAAATACATTGCAAATGTCGTGCCGAGCTTTAACAGAACCGGATACGTTTGCGATATGTACGAGTAAATTGACAAGAATTCAATTCATATGTGCTTGATGCAGTATCAGCATGAGAGCAGCAAACGTTGATGCAGAGGGGTCAAGCTTTTGTTGTGCTTTTTTCATTGACTTGTATTATGCACTCTATTATTGACTGATTGGGAATAATTTTCAATATCATGCTTGATCAATAACTTGTTAAACAAGCATTGACTTTGAAAACCTTGCACTGAAAAGTTTGGAGCTTCCAATTCAGGTAGAGGCAAAATATTTTTAAATTCACATGGTCTTACAATTATTACAAGATAAACTTTTCAATTACAGTGATACAAAATGGTAGAGGAAATACACTTGAAGATTCAAAATGAATTTGAAAAAATCAGACAACTACAGAAAGAATGTCAGGAAGCTGAATTAAAAAGACAGCAGCTAGAAGGGCAAAGGCATGAAAATAATATAGTCAAAGAAGAACTAGATAGAATGAAGCCTGGCTGTGATGTCTTCAAGTTAATTGGACCTTTAATGATCAAACAGGATCTGACTGAAGCTAAAGAGAATATCAACAAGCGCTTACAATTAATATCACAAGAAATCAAACGAGCAGAAGATCTAATCAAATATATTGATGAAAACATAGAAATCCATAAAACTCAGTTAGAGAGATTGGAACAAAGAGTACAAATGAAACTAGCGACCAAATCTTAATTGTCTATCCTCATAGTATTATTAACCATACGAATTCATTGTACTAAAGTTAAATAGACTTTGCAATGGTACTTAATTATGTTTAAGTAAATTATAAGTTATCAGAATTCAATATATAATTATATTATCAAAACTCAAGCATAAAAATATCAAAAGAACATTTGAAAAAGTAACTGATCAATAATTAAAGTAAGCATGACAATGAAATTGTAGAATAATTTAAAAGCATCTAACTGTTTACTTCTAAATTATTTAAACTTCATCAATTGAATATAACTTGCTTTTATTCACATTTTCAATTCATTTAAGTCATATGGTACGCTTCGAGCAATCTTGAGTTCCTTTATGTTTGAAGTAAAATTTTATTTTCTTTTGTATCATTCATGATTTCAGATAACTTGCTTGATTTAAAAAAAAACAATCCTAACAATAACTAAGATTATTCTTAAGATATAAATTCAAATTTCTTACCCTCTTCATTTGACTGTTTTTAATGTTCTGTAGTTCATTTTTAATGAGACTGAATTTCATCATCGTATCGCTGGCAAACATCGAGATGCCAAAAGCGAAGCCAGGATAATCGGCGCATCGTTTGCTTCGCCTGGCTTCCTTGGCCGCCACCACCTCGGTGCATACGCTCGAGCACCTGAGTTTGGACAACTCCGAGAACTCGGGGTCCTCCTCGACGTAGGGGCTAGTTTCCTCGTCAGAATTACCATCGCCCCGATCTCTCGCGTCCGCGTGCTCGAGAACGGGACTGCTCACGCCGGATTTATCGTTATCCGAGGAGCTGCTCTTCGTCGACGAACGACTGATCGTGCTTGACTTGGTCAAGTCGCCGTAGTCGTTGTCGTTGTCGTCCTTATCTTCGGGACTCGACAAGACATTGCTCGGGACCTGCCCGAGCGAGTCCGGTCGCTGTTGTCGCGGCTGCTGCTGTGCTTTTCTGTCTGCAAGCATAGCAGCAGCAGCAGCCGATCGAGTCGTGCAACGAGACGACTCGATTGTGATGGTGTCATTCTTTTCAGTCTCGAGGGGGCCACACTGCGCGGGTCCACCGACAAAACCCGAGGAAACGACGTTCGAGGAGGTGGTGGTGGCGTTCAAAAGAAACTGCTGCCTCGTGTCAACTGGCAGGGGGCCACACTGCGCGGGTCCACCGCTGCCAGTATTCGAAGCAGCAGTCGTCGACGATAACGACGTCGTCGTCGTGGCGTTCGCTCCGCTGCCAAGGATAATCGGCGGACGACGTCGACCGACATTTCTGGGATGATGCTGGTGTCCACGGCGAGCGCTATTGGGCGGCAGCTGACGCTGCTCCATAATAATCGCTGCTACTGCTGCTGCTGCTGCTGCTGCGGGCCTTTTGTTTACCTCGACAGCTGATCGGCGGCTGAGGTGTCAAACGAGTCTCGACTGCGACTCTTATCGCACTCATGTAGTACAACGATGTATATAATTTTATTCGATGAATGAAATATCTATATAATGATATAGGATATGCGTGTCAGCTCGACGAGGTTATGGCTCGTTGGCAGTAGTCGTGCTTCAGCGAGATCAGCTATCACGTGTTTGCAGAGCGACAGGCGAAAAAATTGACTAACGTCGCGGCGCTTCCGGGCCCGAGTATAAGTCGTCGTGGCTGGTGTCGCGTAAGCGATCTACGCCGCTGCTGCGTCGTTATTATCGTGCATAACAATGATCTACTACTGCTTTCCATTCGGGCCGGCGGCTCCTCCTGTATTATTCTTCTTGTCGAACGGCAGCAGACGTAGCAGCGAGCATGATCAGCAGTAAGAGACATTCCTTCTCGGCTCTATGTATTGGGCAAATATTGTAATAACTGCGGCTGGTGCGTAGGAGAGGCGCGCGCGATTCGGCCTCCGTTGTACCGTGCATGTACTGCGCGTCGCGTATCCGTTAACTGCTGCTATATCAACTGTATATCTATCTATCTGCACGATATTCACCGTCGTGCGATGACCGGTGCTCGCCACTACTGGCTGCCTCTTTTTATAAGAAACTAAGAAGCAGCAGCAGTGCGCGCAGCGCCCAAGAACGTGCAAGTATGTACAACGTCGTTGTGTACTGCTGCACACAAAAGGCGAGCACAGCTATAGCTCCGTTTCTCTCTCTCTCTCTCTCTCTTGGTGCAGTCGCGAACTTGCGCCTCACATGTATATATCTATAGATATAATCTTGAAAAGCTGCAGCACGCGAACTGCGAGCGAGCAGACGTAGTAAGAGCGTTTGTAAAAAGACCAACAGCAGCGCGCACCATGGATCGGTAAAGTCGTGCTTGCAGCAGCGGCCTCGGCCCGTGGCGCTCGACGGCCGGGCGCTAGATGGCAGAGGCGCGCGGCGCGTCTAGCCGATTACGAATTTTCAAGAATATATATACATGTGCGTGTGTATTGCGAATCGTGTGTGCCCATGCCCCCAGTGGCAGAGCTTAGCGAGCAACACTATATACGCGGCGGCGGGAAATATTTGAAAAAGTAGAACGTTATGGACGAATTTAGATGCGCGCGGCACGAAAGCCCGCGAGCGACTACTGTAGTATAAATGGAGGCGTGATGTAAGTGCAAGAGAGCAAAGAAAGAGGCGAGAGTGTGTGTGTGTATAGGCACACACACACACACACACATACGCTAGCAAAAGCCCGGTTAGCTAGCGTTGCTACAACTCAGCGACGACTAACGACGACGATGACGAAGGTCGTTTATGCTGAATTTGGGCGGAGGCGAAATCTCGCACATACGCGAAGTTGCGTATGCGTACAGGCGGAAGTTGTACCAACATCTGAATTTATTGCTCCATATAAAGACGGGAGAAGATCTAGTTAGAGCGCGGAAAGAAAAATAATCTATTTCGTATCGAAAGCTTTCGATGGCGCCACTCGCTCGCTCGCTCGCTCGTGGATATCTCGCGCGTTTTTAAATACCTCAGGAAAACCTGTGCTTGTGTGTATTATTATATTTTTAATTCTTTCGGCTCGAAGCTATTTTTGCGCACGAAGCCGCAAAAGAACGGAGAGGAGGCCCGCGTGGCGGCGCGTGTACATGTCGAGCGACGCGGCGAATCGGAAAGATGGACACGACAAAAATTCTTCTTTCCATCGTAACGCTATTATAATAAGATCGGTATTGTAGAATGACTGATTGACTGGAGTCCTTGAAGTGGCATTGATATCGAGCAGCGCGCACACCGTCGATAATAGAACTTGACCAAAATTATCCGCGCGCGCGCGTTAATCGTTCGAGTTATGGAGCTGTTTACGCGGTTTAGAGCATGCAGATCGTCGCTCGATTAAAAGTGAGCTTTGAAATCTCAATGATCTCGCCGCGGTGCATAAGTATATTATTCATGTCTCATTGTTTTTGCGGCAGGTAGGCGACTTATTTGGGAAATGCCCGGGGTGAACACGTCCGTACGTGCAAGTCGATCTCCATTCAAGGAGGAACGCGTAAACAATTTTTCGGTAAACAAACAAATATTTATTCATTTTTTTCGTTCCTGTTGACCGATGAGAGATTAGATAAGAGCAATTTGACACTTTGAGCTTCTATTGCTCAATAATTGAATTAGGCCCGCGCGCGACTCGAGCATGCCAATGAATCGTCATTGGCTCGAATTAATTTATCTAGATATAAATTCGAACAGCTATGTTTGCACAACGGCTTAAAAGGATAAAACTCGTCGGGTAAGGTGTTAGGCCGTTCGTTCAAAGAGTCAAGCAAAAAAAAAACTATCCAAAAATTTCCGATACACAATTCTCGAGCTAGACCAACTCTCGGTGTAAATCAGCGAATCTGTGCAGCTCCCGACTAAAAACCGGGACCACAGGCCGTCCAAGTTTCCGTTTATACATTTTATTACAACGAATATTCAGCATATTACACAAACATATATGTTTCGCGAGCATCTGTAAATCTCATCCCTCCACGCGCTACTACTGCTGCTGCATCAACGTCTTCTTCGTTGGCATTCCTTTGGAATTACGAATCCCACGCACACGCACGAGTATATACGCTCTCTCTCTCTCTCACTCGCTCTCGATCGCGAGAGCTGCTGCTGCCGCCGCGAATGTATTATCATCGTCACACATATTGTATAAAAGTCGAAACGCAGTTATATTTTATGCTACGATATGCTATATTTCGCGCGCGCGGGGGAATTGTTTTCGTTCATTTTTCGCCGATGAATCACGATTCAATTCACGAAGACTCCGTCTTTTTCTTTCCTTTTTTCTTATTTTTTTTTAGTAGGTCACCTGTTTACCAAATCGTCGAGGCGCTTGTTTATTTGATGAAAAAAAAAACCAACGATCTTCGCTTTCTCAACGAGCTTTTTTCATCGGGCGTTTTAAAGCGCGTTCGTATATCGGATTGATAAATATACCACGTTGAGACGTGATTTTTCTTCTTCTTTTTTTTCGAGCGAATTAATAATCATCGCCATGCGCCCAGGAAATGTATGGCGCTATTTTGAATTCGTGTGCAAACACACACGATTGCCTCGCGAGTTGCTCAACGTCTTCGCGGGTTCTTAATAAACTAACGAGCCAATAACGTGATCGACGCGCGTCAGCGAAATCATAATAAATAGAATGTTTATCGTATAAATTTCGCTTCCATTGCTTTAAATGATATAAATACCTATTATAATGTACCATGGCATAATGGCACGTATCGTCGTCATTGTGACACAAAATAAAAAAAAAAAAATATTGGTGTTCTTTGTATCGATAAATGTTTATCATAATACATATTCATTGTTTTGCTCGTATGTATGTACTCACGTTTTGGAGGGCCTTGTCTTTCTCTTCCAATTTGGCGTTGACCTGCATGAGAGCTTCCTGAGTCTGATCGAGGTCATTTTCGATGGTCTGGATCTTTTTCTGGAGAGCACGAGCCTCTTCCTCGGCCTACGTGTGTGCGACGAGAGCGAAAAAAGAAAGAAAAAACGAATTACAGTTAAGGATCGTCTCTTCTTCTCCTTCATTTCTTTTCTTTTTGTGTGTAACACACATTATACGTTCGCGACGCAATTATATTTGCATTCTCATTTCGCATCGTCGAGCATACATTAAAACGAGCGATTAATCTCGCAGTCTCTTTTGATCTTAACACGTTACGGTAATCCGTATGATAATGTGGATATTATATGTTATGTATATTTTAAAGAGGCGAGGCATGTGTGTAATGTATGTACCTTTTCGGCACGTGCGTTGGCATCACGGGCCTGCTGCTCGCAGAGCAATGCGCGATCCATCGCATTGTCCTTCTCGAGCTTCATTCCCTGCATCTTCTTCTTGATGGCGTCCATGGCGAATTTTGTTTTGTTTTTTCTACGGGGCTACCTGCAAGAGAAAATGTTTTTCGTTTTCATTTTTTTTTTTTTTTTTTTTT